GTTACTTAGGAGGCTGAGGCAAGAGCTCAAGGCCAGTCTGGGCAATTTATCAGGACCTTCTCCCAAAATTAAAAAATAAGATGAGCTGGATATACTTAGTGGTAGTTTTCCATGAAGCAACTAAAAAATTATATGCAAAATAGTGTATGCATTATTTCCTGATGAACAGTCAATATGTTTTATCAGATCCTCAGAATACCAATAGATCCTTGGATTCCTGAGATATAATGAACCACTTACGTTTTAATAGATTTGTTCTACCTTATTTGTTTTATGTTTTGCTTTGTGGTACTGAGGAAAGAACCCAAGGCTTCAGACATGCTAGTTAAGTGCTCTACAACTAAGCTACACCCCCTCTATTTTGTTTTTTTGAGATGAGTTATTCTCCCTGTGCTGCCCAGACTGTCCTGAAATTCCTGTACTCTACCATTCCTACAGGCTCAGGCCAGCACATCCAGCTTGCTCTTCCCTGTTTTGATCAGCAGAGGGCAGAAAAGCAATACAATTAGCAGAGTCAGCCCACACTACATAAATCTCTAAAACTCCTAAGGTCTTCAATTTCTACCATCTATTTCTTTTCTACCTTTGCCTTTTCACAAGCCTAAAATTCTTTAACTCGGAACCCCCATCTTTCTCTATCAAAATTCCTACCATCACTGAATACAATATTAAAACAGCACTTCTTTTATTTAGATAGATTAGCCTAGTACAGTGGCACATGCTTGTATACCAGCTACTTGGGAAGATGAGGCAGTAGGATCACAAGTTTGAAGCCAGTCTTGAACTTAATGAGACCTTCAGCAACTTAGTGAGATCCTGTATCAAAATAAAATAAAGGGCTCAAAATAAAAATTTTAAATAATATCTCAGTAGTAAAATGTTCCTGGGTTCAATCCCCAGTTCGCCCCATATATAAGATGGATTAACTCTTTGTTTTCATTTCTCATTTGCATTTGGTTTATGCCTGTGGTAGTTATCATATTCTCCCTTCTACATTATTCATTTATTTAGTATTGTTGGAACCAAGCCTTTAACACATGGGTCTCAAAATACAAATTATACCACTTAAGTTAAATAAATTTGTATGCTTTTCTCTTGTTAATCTGTCTCTGGTTATAAGTGCCTCAGCCATGAACCTAGCAATGGGTCAGCAAAGAAATATCTTAAAAATCTCTTCCCACAAGGCATGGTGACACACACCTGTAATCCCAGCAACTCAGAAGGCTAAGGCAGGAGGATCACAAGTTCAAAGCTAGCTCACCAACTTAAAAAAGCCCTAAGCAACTTAATAAGACTCTATTTCAAAAAAAAAAAAAAAAAAAAGCTGGAGATGTGGCTCAGTGATTAAGCACCTCTGGGTTCAATCCTAGGAACAAGTGGGGGAAAAATTCTCTTTTCCCCTACAAAACATCAAACTGAATAGAAATGAATTAAATTGATGGTAGTATTTCAAACTAAACTGATTTGTGTATTAGTAGAAAAGCCTGCCATTGAGATGAGTTGGGCACAGTGTCACATGCCTGCACTTGGGAGGCTGAGGCAGGAGGATTGCAAGTTCAAAGTCAGCGTCAGGAGCTTTGTAATGTTGTGAACAACTAAAAAAAAAAAAAGTTATTTAATAATTGTGTGAACTCTTTTAGAAGAAATTAATAGGCATTTTGTGTTCAAATTCATAAGATTTTTAGGGCATGAAAAAGTTTATTACTTTATGATCATTTATTTGAACTGGCTTTTAATAAATTATCTGAGATTCCACAAAAAAAAAAAAAAAAAAAAGTCAGCGTCAGCAATTTAGTGAAGCCCTAAGCAACTTACCAAGACTCTGTCTCAAAATAAAAAATTAAAAAGTCAGGTGGCCCAGGGGTTAAGCACCCCTGGGTTCAATCCCCAGCACAGAAATAAACAAAAAGAAATATTTATGTTTTGGAAGAAGTAGTTCTACTTGCCCCAACCAAAGCACAGTGTATAACTTGACCTACAGGACACATATTCTGCCTATCAGTAGACTGTCCTGACAGACATTTAAGACATTAAGTCTCCTATAGCCTGGCTACTCAGGAGGATGAAACAGTTGAGAGTTTGAGGTCAGCCTGGGCAACTTATCTAGACCCTGTCACTAAATAAAATTTTACCAGTGGTTCAGGAAGCTGAGAGGAGAATCGCAAATTCAAAGCCAGCTTTAGCAATAGCGAGGTGCTAAGCAGCTCAGTGAGACCCTGTCTCTAAATAAAATACATAATAAGACTGGGGATGTGGCTCAATGGCCAAGTGCTCCTGAGTTCAATCCCCAGTACCCCCAAAAAATTTTGTTTTAAAAGGCTAGGATGTGTAGCTCAATGATAGCATACCACTGGGTTCAATCCCTGTAATATACATACACAAACACAGAAAGGGAGAGAAACAGCATAATATAGGTACCAAAGTCATGAAGCTGGTTATGTATATATTCTTCTGAATAATTGCAAGAAGGTCTCAGGAGATGATTTAATTAATTCAGAAGAACAAATCGCCAACCACAGAATTACTGCAAGAAGGGAAAAGCCACTACCCTTTTAATATTTTGTCTTGTTTCTTTTGTAGTACTTTAGATAAAACCCAGGGACTTGTACATGCTAAGTATGCACTTTACCACTGAGCTACATCCACAACCCTTTTTACTTTGAGAGAGGATATTGCTAAATTGCCCAGGCTGGCCTCGAAGTTAACAATCCTCCTGCCTCAGCTTCCTGAGTAGCTGGGATTAGAGGAGTGTACCACCATGCCCAGCTAATGCAAAGGTATTAAACACATCAATCCCTAAATCAAAACCTATTTATTAGACTAAGTAAATCTCATAGTAATAATTGAGTTGAAGTAAATTTACTAATGCATCCTCAGGAATCAGCTGGGGTTTTGGCATATACTTGTAATTTCAGAAACTGGCTGGGGCTGGGGGTACAGCTCAATGATAGAGTGCCTGCATGAGGCTCTGGGTTTAATCTTCAGCACAAAAAATAAATAAAAAAACAAACACACACACACACACACACATTTATGTAAACAATTGATTCATTACTTTTTCCATTTTAGTTGTTCCAGTAGGTAAAATGAGTGAATTCATGCTTCCTGATATGAGCCAAAGCATTTTACCATGTCTAGATTTACATTTGAAATCTCTGTGAATTTTCCTTTTTCCCCCAACTATGTACAGTTTTGTTTTATTATTTATTTATCATTTATTATTACGTTAATTGTTACAAGAGTTAATTTATGCCTTTGACTTAGTGATTCCATATCTAGAATGACATAATACCTAATAATAATGTTCTTAAGTAAATTGTGGTATGCCTAAATAATTATATATAGCACATGCTTAAATTATGTAGATGTTGACAATTAGAAAAAAATCTGATATAATTGTCAGAAAAGAAACAAAATCATTTATACAGTGTGATCTGAGTTATAGGGTCATATATAAGATCTATTAAAAAATAACTAGGGGCTGGGGTTGTGGCTTAGCGGTAGAGGACTCGCCTAGCATGTGTGAGGCCCTGGATTCAATCCCCAGAACCACATAAAAATAAATAGAATAAAGGTATTGTGTTCAAATACAACTAAAACTAAATATTAAAAAAAAAAAAAATCACTAGGAGCCAGGCGCAGTGTTGCACGCCCGTAATCTCAGTGGCTCAGGAAGCTGAGGCAGGAGGATCGTGAGTTCAAAGCCAGCCTCAGCAATGGCAAGGCACTAAGCAACTAAGTGAGACCTTGTCTCTAAATAAAATACAAAATAGGGCTGGAGATGTGGCTCAGTGGTTGAATGCCCTGAGTTCAATCCCCAGTATCAAAAAAAAAAAAAAAAACCATTTATAAGGCACTGTGTTCAATCCTCAGCACCATACACACATAAACTCCCCATGTCCAAAAAAAATCACTGGTCATGGTGTCACATGCCTGTAATCTCAGCAATTTGCAGGGCTAAGACAGGAGGATTACAAATTCAAGGCCAGCCTCAGCAACTTGGCAAAGCCCTAAGCAACTTAGCAAGACTTTATCTCAAAAAAAAAAAAAAAAAAATTAAAAGGGCTGGGGATGTGGCTCAGTAATAAAGTGTCCCTGTGTCAATCCCCATTATCCACACACTCCCATTCCGCCCCCCCCCCAAAAAAAAAATAAGAGCAGAGAGTGTAGCTCACTTGTAGAGTAATTGCCTAGCATTTGCAAGGTCCTGATTTCAATTCCAGCACCACACACACACACACACACACACACACACACACACAAATTGACAATAATGAACATTGGTAAGAATATGAAAAAATTTAAACCCTCAGTCAGGTGCAGGGTGTATGCCTATAGTCCCAGCTACTCAGGAGGCTGAGGCAAGAGAATCACAAGTTCAAGGCCAACCTCAGCAATTTAGCAAGACTCTGTTTCAAAATTAAATAAATAAAAAGAACTGGGCATGTAACTCAGTGGTAGAGCACTTGCCTGGCATGTGTAAGGCCCAGGATTCTATCCGAAGCATAGAAGGAAGGAAAAGCAGAGGAAATGTAGATATCAGAATTTTCTACATCATATTTTCTCAAAGTAATTTAAAAATTTTTATTGACTTAAAATAATGGTACATATTTATGGAATACAGTGTTTAAGGCTTATGTACTTGAGAAAATTTGTTGTGGCTTCTCTAAAATCTAGAAAACATAAATAACAGTGCATATTTCAAGCAACAATGAAATAACATTTCTTGAGTAACACAGAATAATCCCTGCCTGTATAAAAAGCCACCAGTAAATTCATTTCCTTCTATCCAGAGTCTAATATACTGTCACATGCATAATGATTAGAGTAGAGCAGAAATTGACTAAGATCATTAAGACTCTATTACATGTGTGTGTAATTCTATGCATCATTAATTACAATTGTTTGACATTTCAGATCCAGAAGGTCATAATCTAGATAGGTAATTTTATTAGAAAATTTACCCTAAGAATACTCCTTCTATTCCTACTTCAGTAATCCTATCCACACCCACATTCATCAACTACCATGTCTTCATAATGTCGAAGAATGACATTGTCATTATTGTCTTGGTAGAGCATGGAAATGGGAGATAGTTTGGTGGGGATACAGACAGCCTGGGGGATCTCTGGGTCAACTGCATGCATCAGTGCTTGCATGAAAGCATAATTGGAACTATTTAAATAGGTGGTGAGAGCGAGGGGACAATCTCCATGGCAGTAATTTGCCATGAACCCTTTGGGGGCAATGATCCATTTGTGCCAACCTAGGTCCTGGAAGTTGATGAAGAGCTGGTGAGGTCGGCAGAGATTCTTGTGAGACGCCTTAGGGACAGGAATGGCTGCCCTCCTTTTTCGGGAAGCAGAGTGGCACTGCTCAGGATTGAGGGTGACCACCAGCAGGGAAGCACGAAAGGAAGGTCTCAGTCTGGCACAGGTGGCCTCCATCTGGAAGTTCACTGCAAATTCTGTGTCTCCTCTGACCACAATCTCCAAGAATAAGCCAAGGTTCTTCTGGGGTTTGCTATTCCAATCCTTAACCACATCCAGTAGATTGAAGTAAAGGGCACCTTGAGGCCATGGTACAGACTGCAGGGCAAACATTTTACCTGGCTTGGGGATAGATTGCCCCCACACCTGAGGCTCTTGAATGACCCACAGAGCCAACTCCAGTTCTGGTTCCAGGTTATAGTAAGAATTAGGCCCCAAGTCCAGGCCCAGCTGAGCCATTGTTAACTGCTCCTTTTCTTTGATGGCAGACAGGTTAAAGTAGAGGAGCTTCCGTAGGCAAGAGTCATCCTGGGAGACTTTGTTTGAGTAAATAAAGAAACCTAGATGGGAAAAGCGACATGTGAAAGTCACCACAGTATTTTCTAACCTCATATCCTCCAAAATGCTATAAATGTCACACTGTCCACATATACCGTTTAAGAGCAAGGAACTGTGAGTTCTTTTCAAGCCCTACCATTTGGGAGGATTCGTCCTCACTCCCACTCCTCATTCTTATATTTTCTTGTTTGTTTTTTGCTTTTTTTGTGTGTAGGGGGGCAGTCCTGGGGATTAAACCCAGGGACTTAACTTCTGAGCCACAACCCCAGCCTTTTTTTTTTTTTTTTTTTTTTAAGAGAGAGAGAGAGAGAGAGAGAGACAGAGAGAGAGACAGAGAGAAAGAAGAGAGAATTTTTTAATATTTATTTTTCAGTTTTCGGTGGACACAACATCTTTATTTTATTTTTATGTGGTGCTGAGGATAGAACCCAGTGGCCCACACATGCCAGGCAAGCGCGTTACCGCTTGAGCCACATCCCCAGCCCCAGCCTTTTTTTATATTTTATTTTGAGACAGGGTCTTGCTAAGTTTAGGGCCTCGTTAAATTGCTGAGGCTGGCTTTGAAATCATGATCCTCATGCCTCAGCCTCCCAAGTGGCTGGGATTTCATTCTTTGTATCTCCCAAGGGGTCCTGGAAGGAAATTAGGAGCCCACACATGGATTGGAAAAAATAATTTTATCTTTTTAGTTTTCATTAAATTTTAAATAGAATTTAGCATTTCATTCCATTATGAATATAGGCAGTAAGTCCCAATAATATTACCAGGGTTGTTGGGGCTCAGAACATGACATTTTGGTGTGCTGAGTACTCTAAATTGAAGGTGACTGAAAAGGCCTCAGAAGCAAGGTCTCTCTGCCTTCCGTTCTCCTGAGTCCAACACCACTTTCTCCCCCTAAGCAACTGGGTGGAGCATAGAAGCTTAAATTCCTCTCCCTCAAAGTAAGCCATAAAACCTAGAAGAGCCTCTCTCTTCCTTGTCCTTTGTAAACCCTCATTCCCCAGGGGTCCTGCCCTTCACCCAAGAGAAGAGCTGCACAGAATCCAAGGATCTGAAGAGACAGGACTCGCTGGGTTTCAACGCTCACCCCAGGACCATTCTGTCAAAATGTGTTGTCCAATCACATTTCTGCATGGCTTTCCACTATTTATCAAAACTAAGCATACAATGGTTTTCCATGGGTCTTTGCTTTGGTTTTGTTTGTTTCAGTGTTTGAAGGTGGAACCCAGGGCCTTGAGCATGCTAGGGCAAGTGGTCTGGTCAGTGAGCTATGCTCTCAGGAAACAGTTTTCCATGGGTCTTTGGGTCTTCATTTTTGAATGCTTCAATGTCACACAAAACTAAATAAATCTGTTACACTTTTCTTGTTAACTTTTTATTGTAGAAATGTCACTGTGGCCCTAACAATGGGTATGGAAAAGGAATCAAACCTTTCTATGATCTATGATACTATCATCAATAAAAACAATAAGTGAGTGGGTGCAGTGACATACCCCTGTAATCCCAGGGACTCCAGATGCCTAGGCAGGAGGATCCCAAGGTCAAGGCCAGCCCCAACAACTTAGCAAGATACTAAACACCTTAGCAAGACCCTGTTTCAAAAAACAAAAAGGGATGGGGATGTAGCTCAGTGGTTAAGCACCCTGGGTTCAATCCCTGGTAACAAAAAAAAAAAAAAAAAAAAAAAAGGAAGAAAAGAAACAAACAAACAACAACAACAAAAAGGGATGGGGATGTAGCTCAGTGGTTAAGCACCCTGGGTTCAATCCCTGTAAAAAAAAAAAAAAAAAAAAAAAAAAAAGGAAGAAAAGAAACAAACAAACAACAACAACAACAACAAAGGTATTTATTTACATTTATATATTTATTTATTTGGTACTGGGAATTGAACTCAGGGGCACTAAATCACTGAGCCACATCCTCTGCCCTATTTTGTATTTAATTTAGAGACATGGTCTCATTGAGTTGCTTAGTGCCTCGCTATTGCTGAGGCTAGCTTTAAACTTGCCATGCTCCTGCCTCAGGCTCCTGAGCCACTGGGGTTACAGGCATGTGCCACCATGCCTGGCCAACAGTTGAATATTTTTAAATAGCTAAAAGAGAGGATGTTGAATGTTCCCAATGCAGAGAAATTATGTATGTCTGAGGGTATGAATATGCCAGTTACCCTGATCTGATATTATACATTATATACATGTACTGAGATGTCACACTACTCCATAAATATGTATAATTACTATGTGTCAACTTAAAGAAACACACACACACACACACACACACACACACACACAATTTTGCAGTGCTGGGGATCAAACCCAGGGCTTTGCACAAGCACTCTACCACTGGGCTATAGTCCCAGCCCTAAAAAAAAAATAATAATAATAATAATAATGATTAGAAAAAAAGAGAGACAGAAAACAGATATTGAATGAGAGAAAGAGAGACAAAGCAAGATAAAACTTGGGCATGGTGGCCAAGTAATCCCAGATACTGGGGAAGCTGAAGCAGAAGGATTGGAAATTCCAGGCCAGTTTTGGCAACTAAGTGAGACCCTATCTCAAAATAAAAAATAAAAAGGGCTGCAAATGTAGCTCCACAGTAGAGCACCCCAGTGTTCAATCCCCAGTAGAGGTCGGGGGGAGCAGGATAAAAGAATAAAACAAAATAAGCAACAAACATAAAAAGCATTTAAAATTACCCAGTTTTTCTAAATAAGGAGGGTGAACAGCCAAGATGTTTATGAATATTTGGTAAGGGTGGAAGAGAACTGATATCTAAATCCTCATTCTTTTGATAGGAAGTCAATAGTGAAATGTCTAAGCTTGAAAAAAATAAAAAAGTAACATGAAGAGCAAAAAAAAAAAAAAAAAGAAAGAAAGAAAATTGCCCCAGTTTGGGGAGCTGAGGCAGGAGGACAACAAGTATGCAAAGCTAGCCTTAGCAAATCAGTGAGGCCCTAACCAACTTAAGGAGAACCTGTCTCAAAAAAAAGGGCTGGGAATGTGACTCAGTGGTTAAGCATCCCTGGGTTCAATCCCTGGTACCTAATAATAATAATAATAAATAATAAAATACATTTAAAAAATTATCCAGTTTCCCTTTTTCTTGGTACATGGGATTGAACCCAGGTGTGCTTATCTACTGAGCTATATCCTTAGCCTTTTTATTTTGAGTAAGGATCTTGCTGAGTTGCTTAGGGCCTGGCTAAATTGTTGAGGCTGGCTTTGAACTCACTATCCTCCTGCCTCAGCTCCTGAGCTGCTAGGATTACATGAGTGTACCAACACAACCAGCCACTAAATCACATTTCTGAAGCATGAAAGAAAACCCAAAAGTAAAAAAGGAAAAGAAAAGATGGACAGATTTTTGACAATATGAAATGAAAATGTTCAAAAGACCATTAATGGGCCTGGGGTATAGTCTGTGGTTTGCCTTGCATGCACACTCCCAGGGTTTAATCCCCAGCGCAACACACACACACACACACACACACACACACACATACACACACACACGTTAAGGAGATGTCCATCTGGTGTAACATGGATGGGTAAGTTGTCACATATTAAAGAATAATGCATTCTATATTTTCATTTATATCAAGTTCAAAAGCTGTCAAAACTATCATGTAGCCAGGTGCAGTGGCACACACACCTGTAATCCCAGTGCCTAGGGAAGTTGAGGCAGGAGGATTTCAAGTTCAAAGCCAGAATCAGCAAAAGCAAGCTGCTAAGCAACTCAGTGAGATTCTGTCCCTAAACAAAATACAAAATAGGGCTGGGGGTGTGATTCAGTGGTTGAGTGCCCCTGAGTTCAATCTCTGGTACAAAAAACAAACAAACAAACAAAAAAACTACAATGTACTGTTAGATGGTTAGATGCTACAATACTAAGAATAATGAATCAGAAAAGAGCATGAAGGATCGTCTAGGGTGCTAGTAATGTTTTATTTCTTGATATGGGTACTGTTTGTTCCTTGAAAATTCATTGAGCTATTCTCTATGATTTATGCATTTTTCTGAATACATATCAGACAGACTTCAGTAAGTTTCTATTATCTTGGTTTCTTTTTCTTTCTTTCTTTCTTTCTTTTTGTGGTGCTGGGGATAGAATCCAAAGTTCATGTATTCAAGGCAACCTCTACCACTGAGCTACACCCCAACCCAATAAGCTTCTGTTTTTAAAAAGACTTCTATTAAATTGTGGGAAGTAACAATTCTCATACACTCACAGCAAGGTAAGAATTTTGGAGAACACTTGCTATGTATCAAGAGTTTAAATGTGCCTACTTCTAAGAATTTCTCTTGAGTTAACAGCAGAAAAAGTGCATACAAAAAAGAAAAGAAAGAAAGAAAGAAAAAGTGCATAGGCACAAAAAAAGTGTATGGCTATCAAAGGACATCAGTTACATATATTATAGTGTATTTATACAATGAAATATCATGTATTTTTTTTTTTAATACCAGAGAATGAATCCAGAGGTGCTTGGCCACTGACTACATCCCCACACCTTTCTATCTTTGTTTTGAGGCAGATTCTCCCTAAGTTGTTTAGGGCCTTGTTAAATTGTTGAGGCTGGCTTTGAGCTTGCGATTGTGCTGTCTCAGCCTCTGGAGTTGCAGGGATTACAGGTGTGTGCTACCATGTCCAGCTCATGTAACTCTTAAAATGTAAGTAAGTTATCCACTTCTTCTCACATATAATAGGTGTTCATGATACTGAATGAATGTATAGTATAATGCCATTTAAACAAAAATAGTAGCTGGGCAGGAAGATTTTGAATTTGAGGACAGCCTGGACAATTAGTGAGACTCTATCTCAAAGGAAACAATTTTTAAAAGGGCTAGAGATGTAGCTCAGTGGTAGGAGCACCCTATGGTGTGTGTGTGTGTGTGTGTGTATGTGTGTGTGTGTGTGTGTAATATATATATATATATATATATATATATATATATATATATAAAGTTTATAATCTCTATTATATTAGCAAAGAAGAAAAATCTGAAAGAATATATAATAACTATTAATGGTGGTTTTCTCTAGCAGAAGAAATAGAGAGGGACAATTATTAGAGTATGTCTTTTTCAGTATTGGGAATTAAACCCAGAACCTCCTAAATGCTAGGCAAGCACTTTATACCACTGAGCGTGAGAGTATGTCGTTTTCATTTATCATTTGATAGAAATAGAATCATCCCATTATCACAGTTATTTCCATGGGAAGGATGGGTAATATTCTCCAAACCATATTCTCACCTCTGTTCTCTGCTCTTTCCACAGAAAACCTTTCAATGGGTTCTTCACACTCCTCCTACCTCTAAATCCTCCTCCAGGAATTTTCTCTAACCCTCCACCCCTGAGGTGAAGCCTCTCACATTATACTGTACCTAGCACCACACATAGAAGTCATCTCTTTGTCTTCTATAAATTCTTTAAAAGGGCAGACTTTATTGTTAATTGCTATATTCACAAATTCATACACAGTTCCTGGCTCACAGCAGGTATCCAATAAATACTTTCCCAGGCAAATAAATATTCAAATATTCTGTCAGGTTGCAGTAAAACTAACCAAGTACTCAATTCTGCATTTGAACCACCAGAGAGGACACATAGACATGCAGATTTTCAACCCTTATCTTGGACTTTGAATATAAATTAGGTAGTGAGGGACAGGAATGGACCTGAAAGAATCTACGTTTAATAGATGGCCTGGGTAACTTGGTGGGTGGTCCCATTGGGAAGCAATTGAATGGATMCTTATATAAAGGATATGATAATGGCATACATTATTGCTCTATATTCACAAATCAAGGAAAACTTCCCCCTTCCAACAATAATGGAGGTGTAAGTAGAAGAGAAGTTTATGAACAAACTGAGCTCAACATTTTTGGTCTCCTGCTTAGCATATGAAAGACCGGGATGTGTGTATATTGTTTGGCTAAAGAATGAGAGACTGAAGCCAGTGGTGTTGTGCGTTCCAGAAAGTTCAACAACTTGGCTGAGGTAGGAGTTGGTGACCTGCCTCAGCAATTTAGTGAGGTACTCAGCAACTAGGTGAGGGCCTGTCTCAAAAAAAAAAAAAAAAAAAAATAGGTGACAGCTTTAATTACACCATTATCCTTTCTCTATACTGAAGCACAAAGCAGTTGATTCAGAAAAAAACTACCTTAAGCCAGCAAAGTGGTGCATGCCTATAATTCCAGCACTTCAGTAAGCTAACTAAGGCAGGATGATCACAAATTTAAGTCCAGTCTCAGCAACGTTGGGAGATCCCCAGCAATTTAGCGAGACCCTGTCTCAAAAGTAAAAAATAAAAGGGCTAAAGATGTAGTTCAGTGGTGAAATGCTGCTAGGTTCAATCCCCAGTATCAAAATAAGAAGGAAAAAAAAAAAAAGAAAAAGAAGAAAAAAAGAAAGGAAATTAAAAAAAAAAAAACACCTCTTTTGAGGGGCCGCGGGTGTACAAACTCCGTGGTGGAGTGCTTGCTTAGCCCTGGGTTTTATCTCTGGGACCACCTAAACAAACAAAAATTAAAAAAAAACAAAAAACAAAAAAACAAAAACCAACCCAAAACTACTTTGAATCCTTTGTTCATGTGCTAGCTGTCTTCTTGAATAGGTACCTCACAAGTTACCTACTGTCTGAGCTTTAATTTCCTTAGTTAAAAAGTTGAGGGCTGGGGATCTAGCTCAGTTGGCAGAGTGCTTGCCTCACAAGTACCAAGCCTTGAGTTCAATCCTCAGCACCACACACACAAAAAAAGAATACCATTTGGGGCTGGGCTTTGGCTCAGCGGTAGAGCACCTGCCTGGGATGTGTGAGGCACTGAGTTCGATTCTTAGCACCACGTATAAATAAATAAAATAAAAGATTTATCAACAAATAAAAAATATATATTTAAAAAAAGTTGATAATACTTACTTGCCTTCCCCTGAGGATTGTTGCTGGGATTAAATGAGAAAATATGCAAAATAGTAGCACAGGGCCTTCCATAAGCCATCAGCAATTGTAATTTCCCCTTTTCCTTTCTCCTCTTCATACCACCCACTTCCGGATTTCCCCCTGGAAACGCTCCCATTTCTTTACCTTTGTCAGGGAGAAGACGAAGCACATTCCCACGGACACCCAGCTCCTTCATGTAGCATAAATCTTGGGAGACCCCAGTGGTTGTTGCTGTCTCTCGATCTTGGAAAATTTTCTTCAAGATAAAAGGCACGGATTGGAACTTGCGGGGTGAAGGCACCTTGTCTAAGCCCAGAAACTGGAGAAAGTCGGATTCTTGAAATTGAAACGTATGTCCCATAGCTACAATTAACAGGAAGCCAACAGGTAAAAATGACAGGGAAGGAAGCATGGCCTCGGAGGTGGGACAAAGCAGGCTGGCTGCACGCTGGGAACAGCTGCAGCTCCAGACTGCACAGCCAACGATTCAAGGGCTGCTAACTTACCTGATGGAAGATAATCAAGTGCGAATTGCTTTCTTCCCAGGTTCTCAAAGGCAATTGGATGTGAAGATACATTTTTTTTCCTCTTCTCTCAATCTGCTCTCCCAAAAAGAAACAAAAAATTACTGATGCGTGGACATAAACTGTACAACCTGAGATTTGTCATGGTAGACAGAGTGAAAAGGAGACATGCATTTATTCATTCAACATACTTTTATTAGGAGCTGGGAATATGGCTCAGTGGTAGAGTGCTTGCCTAGCATGCAAGAGGCCCTAGGTTTGATCCTCAGCACTGCCAAAACAAACAAAAAAGAGTTATTAAAGCATCTATTATGTGCAAGACACTGAGATAGGTGCTAGCAACATACCAGTAAACAATTTGTTCTTATAATTAATTGTCTAGTTAGACAAATGTACATGTAGATTTCTAACAGACTACATCCACAGTGATGTGGGAAACCAAATCAAGGAAAAAGAAGTATTCCCAAGGAAATTAATCTACTCCCCATCTGTTTTCAGTTTAAAAGGATTAAATTTCATTCATCTGATTTTGTCCTTCTTGATTAAAAGTTAAGAGTCTGACTGTGTTAATTCTGATTTCATTACTTACTAGCTGTATGACATTGGGCATGTCCCTTAACCTTCCTTAATTTGTTTCTTCTCAATTGAAAATAATAACTGACTTATTTAATCCCCCACTTTTCTCTTATTGGAGATCTAACCTGAGCCTCCACCAGCTACCTCTACTAGCTAGGCATGTGCTCTACCACTGAGTTCAAAATAAAAAACAAAAAGGGCTGGGGATGTGGATGTGGCTTAGTGGTTAAACACCCCTGTGTTCAATACCCAGTACCAAAAAAAGAAAAAGAAAAAGCAGGAAACTGGGTAATTTTTAAATTTTATTTTATTTTATTATTATTATTATTGCTGTTATTATGATTATTTGGTACCAGGGATTGAACCCAGAGGTGCTTAACCACTGAGTCCCATGCTCAGCTCTGTTTATTTTTTTATTTTGAGACAAGGTCTGGCTAAATTGACCAGGCTGACCTTGCACTTGCAATCAATCCTGCCTCAGTCTCCTGAGTAGCTGGGATTTCAGGCATGAACCACTGTGCCTGGCTGCACGAGAATTTGCTCAGCACAATGTCTGCAGCATAGTAAACTCCTACAAAATATTCACAAGCAAGACAGCTTTAAAGCTCAAATAACCTCTCTTTAGTAAGACAGTCAGATATTTGCCTGAAAGAACTACATGTGAAAAAGAATGGAAGGGCTGGGGATGTGCTCAGAGGCAGAGTGCTTGCCTTGCATATTCAAGACCATAAGTTTGATCTCCAGTATCACCAAAATAAATAAATAAATAAATAAATAAAATATCTTGACATTCATAAAAATGGAAGTTATTGAAAAGTCCAAGTATGTAACACCTATGAATTTGCATGTTTTGTTTTTTGTTTCGTTTTGGTCAAATTACTATAAAATTTTCAACTGCTATTTAAGAATTAGCTTATTTGTATTCAAAATAATTTCCAAGCTTTTTGAGAAGAAATGTTATCATTTTACATTATTTTATACCACGTATTAAAATAACTTGTTCTTCCCAAAGAAAGACAGAATATTCATCTAATATATAATAATTTCTGGTCACAGGATAAAATCTGAACTCTTGCTGGGCACAGTGGCACATACCTGTAATCCCAGTGACTCAAGAGACTAAGGCAAGAGGATAGAAAGTTGGAAGTCAGTCACAGCAACTTAGTGAGACCCTGTCTCAAAATAAAAAGTAAAAAGGTTTAGGGATGTAGTTCAGTGGCTAAACCCTCTGAGTTAGATTGTTGATACTGAAAAAACCACCACCACCACCAAAAAAAAAAAAAAAAAGAAAGAAAAAGAAAAAACCCTAGACTCTAGCTTGGTATTTGGCATTTGAGGACTTTATTGTTCTGATCTCCAGGTCCCTAGCCAGTTTCACTTCCTACTACCACCATGGTCACTGTTGATGTTCTAATGATATCCATCTATTTATTCTCCCGTGAGGTCATTTCATCTCAGAGCCTTTGCACAATCCAAGTTCAAAGGTCTCTTCTACTGCAAATACTTCCTTGACTTGCCAAAACGCATTTAGATACTTCTTCATCCCATTGAACCTTGGGTGGTCATCTTCTATGGCACTTATCACAGGTGTCACTGTTTGCTGACCTTCCTCTCAGACAACACTCACATTCATGGGGGTAGGAATGACAGACAGCAAACATTCGTTGCAAATCCCACTGGCTGCATTTAACAACCATATCTCTCGCTGTACACACTGACAAAGCTTCCAAAAAAATCTTGTGTTTCTTTTAATTTTGGGGGGAGGGTTCCCCCAAGCCATTAGGAAGAAATACATAATTGTTTTTATTTAAATTTATTAGACTCAATTTTGTCATATGGTTCATGTGTATTTAAACTTCATCTTGGGGCTGGGGATGTGGCTCAAGCGGTAGCGCGCTTGCCTGGCATGCGTGCGACCCGGGTTCGATCCTCAGCACCACATACCAACAAAGATGTTGTGTCCTCCAAAAAACTAAAAAATAAAAAAAAATAAATATTAAACTTCATCTGACAATTCCTTTGCTCATTTTTCTCTTTCATTGTTCTATTTAATTTTATTTTTATTTTGTATTTTTTGGTACTGGGGATTGAATCCAGGGACACTTCACCACTGAGCTATATCTCTAGTCCTTTTTATTTTTTGTTTTGAGACAGGATCTTGCAAAGTTGCTGAAGTTTGCTAAGTTGCTGAGGTTGGCCTGGAATGAAATCTCCTCCTGCCTCAGGAGAGGGATCACAGGTGTGTGCCACTGTGCCTGGTCATTTTTTTAAATTTAAATTGAGGGACTGGGGATATAGTTTGGTAGTAGAGAGCTTGTCTAACATGTGCCCTGGGTTTGATCCTCCACACTGAAAAAGGAAGAGGAGGAGGAGGAGGAGGAGAGGAAGTAGAAAAGGAAGGGGAGGAGGAGGATAAAAGGAAGTAGAAGAGGAAGGGGAAGAGGAAGAAGAAGAAATTGAATTGCTAATTATTTTTCAATTGGAGGTCTTCCTGCCTCAGTCTCCCAAGTAGCTGAGATTATAGGTGTGTACCACCATATCCTGCTACTTCCTTGTACTTTGTATACTTACTTGTCTTTCAGGATAGTGCCTCCTCTGGATATGCTGCCTAAGTAGCTGGCCACTCATTTTCAAGCTCCTCTTCTTTTTTCTTTCTTTTTTCCTTGTGATACTGGGGTTCAAACCTTAGGGTGCTCTGCCACTGAGTTATATCCTCAGCCCATTTTATTTTTTATTTTGAGACAGGATCTAGCTAAATTGCTGAGGGTCTAGCTAAATTGCTGAATCTGGCCTTGATCTTGCCATCTTCCTGTCTCAGCCTCCTGAGAGCATGGAAATATATGTGTGTGCCACCATGCCTGCCTGTAAAAGTTTATTACGGTCCAAAATGGAGTTTCTGACCTTCACCACCAACCCTACAGCATGGCATGGCATGGCACCTCCACAGTCATTACTTTCTTCAGGCTTGTATGTCTCAGCTAATGCTAACCCTGTCCTTCCTATTGTTCAGGACAAAGCTTTGGATTCCTTTTTTTTTTTTTCTTTGTACCAGGGATTGAACTCAAGGGCACTCAACCACTGAGCCACATTCCCAGCCCAATTTTATATTTTATTAGAATCAGGGTCTCACTGAATTGCTTAGTGCCTCACCGTTGCTGAGGTTGGCTTTGAACTTGCTGTCCTCCTGTCTCAACCTTCTGAGCCGCTGGGATTACAAGCATGCACCACTATGTTCAGCTAGATTGATTCCTAATTCCTTTCTTTCTATTGTCCTACATATTCAATTCGTTAGATAATTCTGGCTTAGCTCTATCTTTAAGATATTTTCAAATTTTGATCATTTATCATCTTCCCCGTTACAACCCTAATCTAAAATACTGATTTTTTTTCGTCTGAATTATGCCAAACTTCCAAACCAGTCTCTGATTCTAACCTCCCAATTCCCAATTCCTACCAGTCTGAGAATGAATCAATCCCTCTCTCTCTCTCTCTCTCTCTCTCATTACTGGGGATGGAACCCAGGAACTTGCACCTACTAGGCATGCACTCTGCAACTGAATTAACTCCCCTGCCCTGTTTTTAATTTTTTTTTTAATTCCCTGCCCTTTTTAAAACTTCTACTTTGAGACAGTCAAATTCTCTAGCCAAATTCTTTACAAAGGTCAGTTAACTCTTTTGCTCATTTGTTCAGAACCCTCCAGTGAACTCTTCATTCCACTCAGAGTAAGTCAGTGTCTGAAAGAACCTAACCCAGTTACCTCATTTACTAATTTTGTCCCTTGCACATTGTGCTTCCGCCACACTTCTTTTTCCACTTCTATAATTCTTTGTATTCTTGCTCTTGCCTCTGCCAGGAAGACTCTCCAAAGATATTCTCATATCTGACCACCCCCACCCCACACACACCTCTTCCTGTGGTTTTGTGTGCTATGGATGCCTTCTGAGTTTTTACACATTCCTTCCCCTCTCCTTAAAGTTTATCTTTGCCATTCTATTATAAGTTCCAACTTGATCCCTCCCCCACAACTTTTAATCTTCTTTACCCCCATTGCATTTAGTTCTACAACATGCTTTATTTTGTAGCATGTATAGTCTAGCATACTAATTTTATTAATGTATTCAACAAAGACTTGTGCTAGAGAGTGTCATTGGACAAGGGCTCAAGAAGATCCTTCCAAGAAGGCAATGGGACTTCAACTCAGCCTAGTCAGGTTCTTGACTTAAGCAGCTGAAAAGAATTGCAGGATGTTTCAAAAACAAGGCACAACTAATCATAATGTGCATGCTTGTGATCCCAGATACTCATGAGGTGGAGGCAGGAGGATCACAAGTTTGAGGAAAGCCCAGCAACTCAGTGAGGCCCTAAGCAACTTAGCGAGACAATGTTTTAAAGTAAAAAGGGCTGAGGACAAAATAAATAAAAAGGGCTCAGTGGTTAAGCGCTAGGTTCAATCCTCAGTACTGGGGGGTGGGGTGGGGGTAGAAAAAAAGAAATGTGCAGATTGCCAAGCAAGCTTTTTTGAAAATCAAATTCCATATCCATCATTTGATATTTCTGGTTCACAATGTTTCTTTTTGTTTAAGCACTACAGTAATAAATCAGTTATGGGCACATCCTGTAGGTCTTTGAATCCTGGTGACATTTAATTGGTTATGTTTTTGTTCCAGTTGATCAGGTACAAGTATTCACTGTACCTGAGGTTTTGCTCATCTAACTAAAGAGACAAGCATGGCTGGTCATGCTTTCCATCTACTTAGGGTCTCTTTCTCTCCCTGAGAGCCCTTCTATTTCTCTATTAATTTTAAACATTTGGGACATGACATTAATTAGATATGAGTCCCTGACCTGATAACATTATATTGTAATGGTGTAGGACAGTTAGTACACAATAAATATAACAATTAAATATTATTGTAACTGAGAAAAATTCCAGTTCTGCTGCCACCCAACAAAGTCAGTTATTCAAGAGACAGAGTGATGGGAGAACAAAGAGCTTTATTACTAAAAAACTAGCTTGGAAGATAGTGGGTCAAACATCTTTACTGAGCATTTTCAGGGACTCATGTATGCCAAAGGCTTTATAGAGAGGCGAGGTCAGGTGGCACATAGGACAAGAAATAACCAATGACTGGAGACCTAGATGCTGCTCTAGTGGCCCAAATGGGGATACCCTCCCGGTCACACCCACCTTGGTATCTTCAATTTTGAAAAGAGAGAGATTAGGTAAATCTAGGTCAAATCAACCCTGGATTATAGTTCCAGACAAAACATTTCTCAAATGATCAACATGTCTACATGCAGAGATGAACAGAAATCTCACTTAAGTGTTAAGTTAGCAAAGGTAGCGGACACAACATAAAGGCACAGATGCCAAGTTTTTTATCCTGTTTCATCACCCACTTGATGTCTTCCAGCCCAAATGAAGAGTCAGTGCTCTCAGCAAAAGCAAATCTTAAACTTTTTTTTTTCTCTCTCTCTCAAGGCAAACATTAACATCACAATCTACAAGTGTTATCTATAGCAAAGCTAGTGGGAAACTAATAATGCATTGCCCAGCTATATGACCTCCAAAATTGGTGCCCCCTTCCCCACTGGGGTTGAAACTAGGGACACTACTTTATCACTGAGCTACATACCCAACGCTTTATTTTCTTTTATTTGTTTTTGCCATACTGGGAATTGAACCCAGGGACACTCTGCCACTGAGCTACATCCCCAGCCCTTCCATTTTATTTTTTTATTTTGAGACAGGGTCTTGCTAAGTTGCTGAGGCTGGTCTCAAACTTGAGATCCTCCTGTCTCAACTTCCTGAGTAGCTGGGATTACAGGTGTGCACCACTGTGTCCAAATCAAATTTAGCAATTTCCACCCCCCCTCTCTCTTTCATCAGGGATTTAACCCAGGAGTGCTTACCCACTGAGCCATATCCCCAGCCTTTTTTATTTTTAATTTTGAGACAGGGTCTTGCTAAGTTGCTTACAGCCTCTCTATTGTTGAGGCTGGTGGAACTCACTATCCTCTTGTCTCAGCCTTCCAAGTCACTGATGTCACAGGAAAGCAGGAAGTTGGAACTCAAAATCTTGGTTCTTATGTTTCAATGAAAGAAAATTTAGGGGTCTCCATGGAGGAGCATCCTCCCACAGTCTCTGCGGCATATGGGCTACATCCTAGTGCCCAGGTCCTGCCACCTGTGACTGCACATGCAGGGGTCATGAGAGAGGTCATACTGAGGTCTTCACCAGCCCACAGGTGAAGCATGGCAGCCATCCCTTCCAGCAGTTCACTGGTAGCCACTCACAACTACTACTGGTGCCGCCTGTGCTCCACATCCAGCAACAGCTCCTGTGGAAGTGCAAAGTATCCTGGGGAGGCCATCCCCCACCACCCTGGTCTCCCCAAGGCCACCCCAGGTCACTGGTGGCCCAGCTTCCTCTTCAGGAAGTCCACTCTTCCATTCATGGCCACTGTGTTGGAGTCCCAGAGCACTCAGAATCCACCAATGACCTAGCTGTAGAAACCATGAGGAAGAAGCCTGTCAGCCAGCAGAGCCAGACCAGCACTAGGCCTCAGGCCACCTGGTGGCCCACTGATAGGAGCTTCCAAGGTGCTAGGTTGAATTCTGCCCATGCTAAGCGGTAGGCTAGGCAGGCTACAGCAAGCAAAGACCACCTTGGTTCTTCCACAGGAGATGACAGGCACCAGGCAAGAGACCCCCTCTCCAAGCCACAGTGGGCTTTCTTGACTCCCATAACTGTGCCTTGCTCCAAGCAAAAATAAACTCCAAATAGCGAGAAAAAAAAAAAAAGAGAAAACAAACGAAATTTAAAGTCCGACACAAAAAGCCATGTAAGAGAACTTTATTATAAATGAAAGTGAAGTGAGGTGAAAATATAGTAAAAGCAAAGTGAGGCTTAAGCAGAGAGCACTCTCCAGAAAGTGTGCCGTCTCTAGGTGAGCAGAGAGTAACACAGGACACAGCGCTGACTCAAAATTTATTACTGTTTGATGTTTACCAGGAGAACTGGGGACCATCTTCAACTCCTGGAATATTTTACCTTAGTTGGTCCTCTCCAGAACTGTCATGGTGGCCATCCTGTTTGGAGGGACTCCGTTTACAAGTCAATCCCATGTTTATATGGGCACTGAGGTCAATAGCTGGTCAGAAGTCACCTTAATGGGCCTGCAGTATTAAAGGAATCTTCCTTCCCAGACAAATAGAGACCCCTCTAGCCATCATTCCTAGCTTTGCATCAACCTCGGTGAACCCTGTCACATTTAGTTCCATTAATCCTTTTCTTTTTTTCCTTTTTTTTTAAAGAGAGAGAGAAAGAATTATTTTTTAATATTTATTTTTTAGCTTTCGGCAGACATAACATCTTTGTTTGTGTGTGGTGCTGAGGATCGAACCCGGGCCGCACGCATGCCAGGCGAGTGCGCTACCGCTTGAGCCACATCCCCAGCCCCTAATCCTTTTCTTTTGATGTATTTTCCCATTAACTCATTTGTTTTTGTGTTTTTTCTACAAATTAACTACCAACTTTTGCTTTCTCATCTACTTTGAAAGTAGTTTAAAGAAGACTCTAAAGTAATTTAAAGAACATTTGTGATCTTGCCATGCATTTCATTGCTTGTTGCTAGATACTCCCTAAGACTGGGATTACAGGAGTGTACCACCCTGCCTGGAAAAATTAGTGATTTCTACAGTCAACTAAAAGTAAGTAAAGCTAGAGGGTTTATTTAGGTTTCCCCCTCAGTTACATCATGTACTCGACAAATAAATGGATTAATTAATATTTGGGTACTTGTTCAAGAACTTCTGAAGAATATTTTTTTATTGTTGGCACTGAGAATTGAACCCAGGGAGCTTTACCACTGAGCTACATCCATAGCTTTTTGTTTTTTGAGACAGGGTTCTGTTGAGTGGCTCAGGGCTTTTATAAATCCCTGAGGCTTGCCTCAAACTTTAAATTCTCTTACCTCAGATTCTCAAGTAGCTGGGATTACAGGCATGTGCCACCACACCCAGCCCAATAATCACTAATATAGAATATTGGCATTATCAGGTTTTACTTTTTATAATGGAGTTTTAAATTTGGGACTAGTTAATATTATCAAGGAAATCACTATCTTTACTTTATAAATTCACATATTCAGAAGACTTTCATAATCAAGATAGCCTATCTCAAAGTATTAGGCATTTGTGAAAACTAACCCAGGAATAAAAACAAATATGATTATACAGCAATAGTTAATATTCCATTTAAAAAATATTTGGGCTAGGGATATAGCTTAACTCAGTGTCAGAGCTCTTGCCTAGCAGTGCAAGGCCCTGGATTCAATTCCTAGTACCTCATAAAAACAAAAATAAAAACTACCCCCCCCMAAAAAAAAAGAAGGCAAAAAGAAAAAATTTAACACATTGTTAAGTAACTTTGTAAATTAAAATTAGGTAACCTATTTTTATAGATAGGGCTGGGAATGTAGTTCAGTGGTAGGGTACTTGCCTAGCATATGTAAAGTCTGAGGTTTAATCCCCAGTACACCTAAAAACATAAAACACATCAGGTAAAAGATGAAATAGTATTACAATATAAATTTTTTTGGGGGGGTGGGTACCAGGGGTTGAACTCTGAGGCACTGGACCACTCAGCCACATCCCCAGCACTATTTTGTATTTTATTTAGAGACAAGGTCTCACTGAGTTGCTTAGCGCCTTGCCTTTGTTGAGTCTGGCTTTTAACTTGGGATCCTCCTGCCTCAGCCTCTGGAGCCACTGTGCCTGGCTACATTATAAAATTTTACATGTAATGTTTTCTAAGTTTCAATTTAGCAGTAGTTTCTTGAATGTCAACTTAAAATTAATAAATGTCTCTGAATAACTTTTCTTCTGGATGTTAGATTTGTGACTCCGATTTCTTCAAAGTTGAAGATAATAAAATATTAGAGCTTAAGTGTCTTAGCTACCCATTTTATCTAAAATACTATGCTTAATGTCTTAGGAGCAAGGAAAACAAAAAGTTGTTCTTTTTTTCCTTAAATATACAGTTGATAAGGATTGGCAGGTCATTTCTATTGCCTTGGATAAGAATGTTTTATAAGTCTTGCACTCTTGGATAAGCAATTCTGAAAGTTATTCTCATTTAAGAGGGTCCAAAGAGAATAGAAAAGATGTTGCTCATTACCTTTACTCTTAGTGTTACTGTTTGTCCTCTTTTTTGTGACTGAGGAACTCCAAGTTTATCTTTGCTATTTCAAAACTAGTGACTGACAGCTGGGTGCCCACTTTTAGTCCCAGCTACTCCCAGAGACTAATGTGGGAGAATCACTTTAGCCCAGAAATTTGAGACCAGCCTAAGCAACATAGCAAGACCCTCTCTCAAAAAGGAAGAAAAAAGAAAGAAAGTAAAAGAAAACTAGTGACAGAATTTACAAGTGTTAAGGGAAAGGAAGAAACTAGCAAAAAAAAAAAAATCTTGAAAAAAAAATACCTATTCCTTCTGAACATCGTAACTCGGTTAGAGAGAACATGAAATATGCAAGTCCAAGGGATTTTATTAATTAACTAACTTATCAGGTATTTAGGATACCTCATCTTTGCTCTAGGCAAGCCTTTAAACTGGTGTTTTTCAAACTTTGTTGCAATTCATTAATGAAGAATAAAATAAACTTTGTGGATCCCAATCAGCATTAAGAAGAAACTAGAGGCTGGGGATACACCTCAGTTGGTAGAGTGCTTGCCTTACATGCAAAAGGCTCTTAGTTCTAATCCTCAGAACCACACACACACCCCCCAAACAAACAAAAAACCCCACTACAATAGTATAGGAAATCCCTGAAACTTTTTATTTTTGAGAGACCAGGGATACCATCTAACACTAAGGTACATCCCCAGCCCTCCCTCAAATGACTTAGCTAATAATTATCTCTACCTGTTACTGGATATATATTTTGTAGTATATGGCAAAACTATGAATGCCACTGTACTTACTAGTGGCATTTTTTTCTAAACTACTTCTTTTTCTTTCTTCCTTCCTTCCTTCTTCCTCCCTCTCTCTCTCTCTCTCTCTCTCTCTCTCTCTCTCTCTCTCTTTCTCTTTCTTTCTTTCTTTTTTCTTCTGGGGATTGAGCTCAGGGTTAATCTACCATTGAGTTACATCCCCAGCTCTTTTTATTTTTTTATTTTGAGACAGTCTCATTAAGTTACATAGGCTGGCTTTGAACTTGCAATCCACCTGCCTTAGTCTCTTGAATAGCAGGAATTACAAGTGTACACCAAAGTGCCTGGCTAAATACATTTTAATAGAAAACAAAATACAAAATAATGCTTTTCAGAAAACAGGAAATATTTAATACTTTTTCTACAAATCAGAAATCACTTGGGCTGGGGATGTGGCTCAAGTGGTAGCGCGCTCGCCTGGCATGCGTGCGGCCCAGGTTTGATCCTCAGCACCACATACCAACAAAGATGTTGTGTCCGCCGAGAACTAAAAAATAAATATTAAAAATTCTCTCTCTCCTCTCTCACTCTCTCTTTAAAAAAAAAAAATTCTAAAAAAAAAAAAAAGAAATCACTTTATCTTCAGAGCATCATTTGATATGTTTGTGTATATACTTAGACTTTGTCTCAAAAAGTGTTTGTTAAACTGGAGATAGAGGGCTGGGGATGTGGCTCAAGTGGTAGTGCGCTCGCCTGGCATGTGTGCAGCCCGGGGTTCGATCCTCAGCACCACATACAAACAAAGATGTTGTGTCTGCCAAAAACTAAATAAATAAATAAATTCTCTCTCTCTCTCTCTCTCTCAAAAAAAAAAAAAAAAAAACTGGAGATAAAAGCAGATCATATCAAGGAAAAAAGGTTGAAAAAATTAACACCTCTAATAAATGGTCATTTGGAAATTGAATACTTTCTAATTCAATCTTGTGACTCTTCATTTCAAATTACTCTTTTTCATAATCTTTCTTTTCAGATTTTATTTTTTTCTTTATTTTCTTTTCTTTCTTTTTTTTTTTTTTCTGATCCAACCCAGAGCCTTGTACATGCTGAGTTACATTATACTTAGCTACAATATTAGCCAACAGATGTTTGTTGAATAAGCAGATAAGATCACAACTTTTAGTTTGTCATCTTGGTGTTGCCAAACGCTCGGTCCCTGTCCTCAATGCCAATCCAATAAAGAGGACATAGTTTTGAGAAAAATGAAAAAGGTTTTTGCTTTGCTAGCAAAGGAGAAGCACAGGGGACTCCCGTCCCAAAGGCTGTGATTCTGCCCATCAGCAGAAAAAGGGGATTTTTTTTTTCCAGGAACAGGGGACTTTTAAAAAAGAGGTGATTCAGAGAAAATGATATTAGGAAGGAGATAGCAGGAAGGAGAAGAGCAGGGAGGAGGTGGTCAGGGAGAAGAAGTTTGGGAAAAAGAAAAAAAACATGTGAATTTCAAAGCCACAAGGGATATGGTCAAAGCATCAAGTGAACTCCTGTTACATTGGTCCATTATTGTCAAGC